CATTTTTCAAATATCGGCATCGGCCGATAAGTTTTTCCTGTTTGGCCGGTGTGTTCGAGGCGGGACTTTTATTTTGACTGCGCTGAGAACGGCAGCGCCTGAGTGCACACCGCTCACATTCTCCCTCTTGTTCACTGTCGTCGTTTAGTTCTGTCTAATATGGATAGATGTCTATCTAATAATCAGATGGAACTGTTAAACAAAGGAATTAAAATGTATACAAAAAAGTATTATAATGATTGCTTTAATATTATTAGTAATAAAAAGGCAAACATTATAATACTTTCTCGGTTGCCGTCAAGCATTCAGCAAATACGCATTTATATAATTTAAACAAATCTTTGAATGACTAATGAACATTTAATTTCACAAACCTTGCAGACTTTGTCGAATCTAGTTGAGATCTTGTGAAGTGTGCATGTGACCTGCATGATAGCGTGTTCTCTTTGTGACTTTCAGTCCGTGCCAATTGAATGTGGATAGGAGGAGAGTTCAGCTTCACTGGAGACGCGCGATCGACAAACTTTAAACTCATGATTTCAAATGATGCTGCACTTTATGCATTTGCCCACTGTCATATTCATGTCATTTTCACTGTGTGCTGTATGTAAAATGAGTGTTACCTTGGCTTTATTTGAAAAAATATGATTCCCAATGCGCACAAACTTCCCAGAATACTGAGTGCCCTGTTGGTTACAGAGTTTACTTCCTTTTCAATTAGATTTTTATTAAATATTTGTGAAAAATGCTTTGTATTCTAAAGTATAAGTATGTTTATTTTACACAATTATTGTTAACCCATTTTCAAATGATTTCAAATTTCTTAAATATTAATTAAAATAAATAAAATTATATTGGCCATCGGCCACCCTGCTTTCCAAGATATCGGCATCGGCTGTCAAAAAACCCCATATCGGTCGACCACTAATTCAGAGTTCATTTAGGAGGTGAAAGATAATGCCCATTAGAGGCCTGCAGTGAGGGCTGCTAGTTTGTTTACTACATAATCCTGTAGTAAACATGTAGTGTTTCACTATTAGCATGTATTGTCATTCATATTTTATTCACCAGCCCAGTGTCCTTACATAAAGAGTCAATACTGCAGAATGAAGAGTGAAATTATTTGGACATTATTGTTGTACTACTGCCTAGGATAGCATAGAAAGGGAAGTTACTTTCCTAAAAATGTGTAGAGTAGGATGGCTAAAATGATTTAAGGGTTGTAAATGCTTGTTGGTGTGGTCTTGGAAATATTTCTCAAATATTTCAACAATTTAGAAAAAGTGAATCCCTAGTTTTCACTTCTTGCTTGAAGATTTTGAGTGGCTGTTCCCTGTCTGTTATAGGATGGACTGTATTGCCCCTGATATTATTTATAGGTTTACATATGAAATGTAAGAGTTCATTCTTGGCCATTTCCGGATTCTTCAATAATGTGTTCCAGTGTTTTGTCTTATTAAAGCCATAAGGGTTGTTTGTGTGAGGTTTCACAACCTCAAAGGGAACAATTTAACCAGGAACGGGGCAGGAAACTGCTGACTCAGCCGTGGCAAATTGTCTTCTCTGTTCTGCTTATATGTTGATTGTTGTGTAAGGAATGCAGAAAAGAGTTAATTGTTGCTATTAAATAGACTTCATATTGAAGGCAGCATTCATATGGTATTCATGTTAATTTGCAGCAATGGGAAAGATGACTACAATCTTGATCATCTCTCATCTCCTCCTAGATGTTAGATTGTTCTTCCATTCTGTTTCCAGTCTTCTGCAAAATTGTGTTCTGATGTGTAACGGCTTCTTCACTGCAGTCAGTAACTGGTCAGTTCACGAGAAAAAAGCATTTCCAATCCTAAAATGGTTTTGTTCCAGTGAACACCCAATGATCCCTTGGCCCCGATTGGATGATCTTCTGGAGAATTTGTGTTATCTGCTTGTCTGAACAAGTTCTGGTTGCTGGAAAATCGACAAAGTAGAAGGTTTTATTAGCTCTGCTGTCCTCGCATCGATAAACCCCATTAATCTGGCTTTTAGCTGCTGGCTAATGCTGCTCTTTGTCAGCAGCGCAATGCTGTGTTTATCTTAAAGTGGTCTGTCACTCCACTGATCAGCAGCTGCTAAAGTGAGTGATGAAGCAGTGCTTCAGGCCTGTCAGTGACGTCACTCACTGCTTACCCTCACGCTCCACTTTGTCAAGCAGCAGTATGAAGATGGTCTTCTAATTCATTCTCATCACAGACTTTGGATATTTTTTTTATATATGTCATTTTCATCAGTCTCTTCTTAATGTCTGGTTTTTGTGGTTTATTGATTAAATTTGATATGAAATTCACCCCATCTATTTTCTAAACGCATTATAGATCATATTGTGTACAATTTTTGTTCTTTTTCAATAATCCGTTACACTCAGTTGTGTGACGACATACAGAAGAAAAAGATCTATTGCTACTTCTGTTTCATCACAACTTTTAAATTCAGTTAGTTGTAAACTGTTCATGAACATTTTTCAGTTATTTCTCACCTCAGAAAATCTTGTTCATGACCTGAGAAAACCATTTATGACTATTTATAATCAATTACTAGTATCCATCTTATTTTTAACATTAGAGCGGATGAGGCCATTTGTAATTTGAATGTGTGGCTTTTGGTGTCATAGGCTTCCAGTTATTTTTAGCTGTATGAAATGGCTTGTTATGCTGCTTGATACTGCAAACTGGTCTAATATTTTGATGTATTGTCATCATTATAAATGCACTTATTTGTAGCACGGACAGTTTTCTGTCTACTGCACTGTTATTCTTCTAATAATTGTCCTATGGTGGCTAATGATGAATCACAAGTCTCACACATTCACAGAAAATGGCTTAGTTCCACATTGCAAAATAAGTTGGATAACACGAAGCAGCAGGAACATAAGGTTTTTTTTTTTAGTAAGAGAACCATTTTATACTTATACACAGTCTGTACAACTCTTCTGCAACATTCACTATTTTTATTCATTTAAATTGCAAAGTACACAAGCATTTAAAGAATATAATTTTGTCATGGCTAATAAGATGTACACAGTTGTTGAAATGAATACTTATTTTGCATGACATTTACTCATCTCATCCTGAGAACAGAAAATGCATTATCTATTGGCAAAGCTGACCAAGTGGAAATGGTTATCTGCCAAAGCAAAGCGCAGTCTCAAAAACAAACATTATCTGATTAATCAGCCTGAGCAATATACTGTGTCAGTCTAACAGTGGTGCTCTAAGTTGTAATTTTAGTGTTTTCATTCTTGGAAATATGAGATTGCTGCATGCATCTTTTCTTTTGCAGTGTGTTTAAGACTTGTCTATCAGGTAGACTGGAGACATTGAGGGTCGTGTCCTTAAGACTCGTTAAACAGATGTTTTTTTTTTTTTGTTTTTTTTTGTAGAACCAAGAAGATGAATGGGTCTCTGGACCACCCAGACCAGCCTGACATTGATGCTATAAAGATGTTTGTGGGTCAGATCCCTCGGACGTGGTCAGAGGATCAGCTGCGTGAGCTGTTTGAGCCCTATGGTGCAGTTTATGAAATCAATATTCTTCGGGACAGGAGTCAGAACCCCCCACAGAGTAAAGGTACTTGACAGTCAGTACACTGCAGATTGAGACATGTTCTGTGTCAGTCACTCTCAAGACTTATACAGACTGTTCCAAAACCTAGTGAGCATATAGCGCGCACACATGCAGTGCTGCATAAAAACAAGTTGTCTTAGATGGCAGCCTAATTAAGTAGCCTACTTTTTATAAGGTAAGAAGAAATACTTCTTACCTTAGAAACGTGCCAGCGACTCCTTAAAATGCTACTCACTAGGATTTGGAACAGGGTTCTAGAAATTGGTCTCATTGGAAATGTTGTCATCTTGGACTTGGTTCACAGGCCATTTATTGCATTTGCAGGTTGTTGTTTTGTCACATATTACAACCGTAAATCTGCATTAGAAGCACAAAATGCCCTTCACAACATGAAGATTCTTCCAGGGGTGAGAAAATGATCTAGTTTTTCTTTTATTATATCAGTAAGCCATTAATCCTCATGTGTGTCGTCAGATGATCTGGCCTTCTACTATTATTGCTTTTAAAAATACATCAAATCCACACACATATTGACATGCTTTTATAAAAGCTTTTGCAGTACACCCAATGGAACTGTTAAATCTTTTTTAAACAGCTGATTTCTTATAGTGGCTGGAAAATGTCAGTGTTGATAAGTCACATGTGATTTCTCTCCCTCTCCCTCTCTCTCTCTCTCTCTCTCTCTCGCTCTCTCTACAGATGCATCATCCCATACAGATGAAGCCTGCAGACAGTGAGAAAAACAATGGTGAGTGACTTTAATTTTCCACAATATCATGACAGTCCTCCATTCATATACACTAATGTTCAAAAGTTTAGGGTCAGATTTTTATTTATTTATTTCGTAGAAGGAAACCATTATGTTTCAGCAAGGATACAGTAAACTGATAACGCTACAAAAGATTTCCAAATCACGGCTCATTTTCAAATCACTGTTTCTTCCAAAAAATAAAAACATTAAGCAGCAAAACGCATATTCGATTGATTTCTGAAGGATCAAGTGACACTGAGGTCTGGAGTAATGGCTGCTCAAAATTCAGCTTTGTCATCACAGGATTAAAATACATTTTAAAATATATTAAAATAGAAAAGTTACAAAAATTAAATTGTAATTCCACAATATTACTGTTTTACTGTATTTGTGATCAAATAAATGCAGCCTTTTTTGAACATAAGAGACTTTCTTCGAAAACATTACAAAATCTTATTCTTAAAGGGGACATAACACACACTTTTTTGCCAATCTCATGTTAATCTTGAGTACCTAGTAGTAAATGGTCAGCTGGGTCCGGGTCGGGTCCCAGGACGTCATCAGAAGCAGGGTGGGCGGAGTTAATGCACACGCACAGTGGTAATGGATACCTTCATGAGTGATGTGAGTTGTTGTTATTGATTATTCTTTAAATAATATTATGAATGAACCGTCTTGTTGTTATATCTAAAATTTTTGCTCAGACTCGGCTCAGAGAGCACAGAGAGGATAGCAAATAAGTAAAGCTTATTTTATTTTAAACGTCAGCAGCCATGGCAATGGACGAGCAATTGTTATTATAATCCAAATGGGCAAACAGTCTAAATTATTATGCAAGTTGACTCGAGATACAAAAAATGCAAAACTGCAAAGTCGCATTTGTCATCCGTCACCGTGACAGCAAGTGGACTTTTGAAACTGGAATAATGAGTGGATTACGCATTTCAATTGGCAAGAGAGGAATAACACGGATGGAACTTTCTTGGCAAGGAGGATTGTGTGCATCACAGTCAGGTACAAGGGAGAAGGCTTCTTACATTAGGTAAGACAAAAAGTTTAATTTTCGCAACTTGTTTATCGACTTGTTAATAGCAATTTGCTGTGGAATATGTGCCGATCGGGTCCAGTCGGGTTTGTCTTCCTGGCCGGGTTTGGGTCCATCTTTCAAATAATTGACGGTCCGCATCGGTTCCGGGTAGTCTTTAGAGTCTTTAGTTTTATAAATAGTAGTATTTATAGTTCTATAAAAGAAAGATGCAGCTTTACGATTCTCTCCAAAAACAGTCAAGCTTCTGGAGGTGTGCTGTGGGCGGAGCTAAAGAGTCCCGAGCACTTACGCACCGATTGCCAACAAAACAGAAATTTGATGCAGTTTTACTCACCGCCTGTGTTTCCAGCTCATGACCGGGATATTTTATTGCTGGGACCACTCGGTATCAAACGATCTGCAAATCCAGCATTGAACTGGGCCTTGTTTATAAAACATGTGTCACCGAAATGATGGGAACAAACGCACACGTGCGAAACTTCGTTGCTGTCCCGGAAAAGCAAACCGCATCCACTGTTCATGTAACCCTCACATCCAAAAACACACTTCTTTGGTGACATTATTCTGGAGCAAGTCCTGTGCAGCGCTGCTGACGACTTCCATAACCCGATTGAAGCACGTTGGTGGCCGCGCGCTCTTGCTCTATTTGCTGTGTGCACGCGCTCTTCCGGGAGAAGTGCCCATACAAGGAATTCCGCTCTTCGTGACGCCATGAAGAGCCATGCTCGAAAAAAACTTTCCGAAACTTATTAGAACCCGGAAGGAGTGTATTTGGCAACGAAATACTCCGTCATACGTCCAAATCATTTTTTGAAACTTTGGCCATGTTTAGCATGAGAATCCAACTCTTTAACAGTGTATGCATGTAACTCTGAATGCATGAAATAGCATTAGACCCCACTTTAACTTCCACAGTGACTGTCAAACAGCTGCACAGAGGCTGTGCTGCCATAACACTCTTTTCTTTTGTTTCAGCGATAGAAGATAGAAAGCTGTTTGTTGGAATGATTTCAAAGAAGTGCAATGAGAATGACTTAAGGCTCATGTTTTCTCCATACGGTCAAATTGAGGAGTGCCGCATACTGAGAGGCCCTGATGGACTGAGCCGTGGTGAGAACTCAAATGCATTTATATCACCACTACCACCATCCAAAGCAAATTACACACATGATTGGGTACGATAAACACACTTACGGGAATAGAGGCAGTCTTGTGAATGTTTTGACTTAAAGCGCATGAAATTAATTTTTAGCGAATAAGCATGAAGTACATCTTCACCAGTCACTCTGCCCACTCTCATTTAAGTTATTTCGAGGAGGCAGTGTTTTGCGTAACTAATAGTTGCAGACACACCCCATAAGAGAAAAATGAGACTTGATTGGCTCCTGTCGGCTCAAATGAAAATGCCTTCATTCATCTTAGACTCAACATGGCAACTGATATCACAAGTTAAATAACCATGGGAATTTTATTCTCTTAGTTTCTAGCTGTCGTTTACCTGTGATTTATCCAAAGTTTACCTGCAAGTTATCCAAAGTGTAACCAAGGGAACATAATGCACATTGAGGCCCACACTATTTATTTGGCTTGAGTGAACTTGCTGTCCATCACCATGGGAACTGCTGAAGTGATAGGCATAACCCATATTGACTCAGCAGCCCTCAAATCCATTCACTTTCCAAAGAGACCAGGCCTGAACCCCGTTTTGATTAAAGGTTGTGTTTTTGTGTCATTGTTTCATTAGTGCTTCTAGTTTATGGTTTTATTGTTATGGTTTAATTACAGAAGTTGGTGTCCTCTTGTGATCGACTTTCACACTTGTAATCTCTGTGTCCGCAGGCTGTGCCTTCATCACATTCACAGCAAGACAGATGGCCCAGTCTGCCATCAAATCCATGCACCAGGCACAGACCATGGAGGTAAACACACACACTCACACATACACACACACCACTTCTGCGTTTCAGCTTGATATTTCTGTGTCTGAGAGATTATAAATGCCTATGCCTCAATGCGTAGTATACAGCAAAGTATTGTTTCTATATTTCTTGTATAGATGTTGCACTACCATTCAAAAGTAGTATCAGTAAGATTTTTTAAATAATGTTTTTGAAAGAAGTCTCATGTTCACCAAAGCTGCATTTATTTGGTCAAAAATACAGTAAAAACCGTAATATTGTGAAATATTAAAAACAGATGTACTGCTTAGTATTTTTTGGAAACCGTGATACATTTATTTTCAGGATTCGTTGAATAGAAAGTTTAAAAGAACAGCATTTATTTGAAACAGGAGTCTTTATAAATTGATCAAAAGTATTAATTTCTTTAGAAACAAAACAATCTTACTTACCCCAAACTTTTAATCAGTAGTGTATTATGAAAGGCTGAGACGCTGCTATAAAAGTCAGAGTATACATATCAGTGAAAACTTGCCGTTTACTGATTTTTGGCTGTCTTGGCCCCTTTCATTTATTTTGTCAAAATTAAATTCTATGATGCATTTTAATTTCTGTTTGCATGTGTCCTGTAGGGCTGTTCTTCTCCCATCGTGGTGAAGTTTGCAGACACTCAGAAGGATAAAGAACAGAAACGTATCGCCCAGCAGCTGCAGCAACAGATGCAACAGCTCAATGCTGCCTCTATGTGGGGAAATCTTACAGGACTGAACTCACTTGGGCCACAGTACCTTGCAGTGAGTACACAGGACAGATCCTGTTGCATCTGAGGTCTATGCACATAGAAACCACACCAATATTGAAGACTATATACCTACGTAAACTGCGTAAAGCACTTGCGGAATGAAAAAATTCATGTTTAGTACATGAGGGCTGGTCTTTGCTCCATATAGGGCTGTCACAATATTAGAATTTTACTACAATTTTCATGGCCAAAAGAATTCACGGTAACGTTATTATTGTGTAGGGGTACAACGATATTCAAACCGAACCGAAAAAACCGCGATACACCAACCACAGTATGTACCGCGGTACTCTCTTGGCCTACCCCGCCTCCTGCTGAGACACTTCAAACACGTACAGCCATGATAGTATTGAATTGCTTGAATCACTTTGAAAAGGAAGGTGCCATTAAGGGCAATATGTGCAGAACAAATCTGTCATATAGGCTACATTTGTGTATATTATTTATCTCATATAAGATGCATTTGGTTGAGTTACGCCACAAAAACAGCACAAACAACAATGCAGAATATTAACTATGACTGGGACTGTCATATAGATAACATTATAATGAGAACACTATTATAATTAAACACTGTGAATTTCTATAATTTAGTTGCGGTGTTTCGCTGTGGGATTGCAGGCATATTGTGTAATTCTACACATTCCCGGAGGTTTTTCGATTATAAAGCGGGAAATTCCCGCAAACATTTATATACTATATCATGTAGGTTGGATCCAAACAGATTATCAGATTAGCTCAGTCATTTTCAAACTTTCTGTGAGATGGAATTTCACAAACTGTGAGTGATTGGTATGGAGTGGTACCGCATCTTATCCCACTCTCTCAAACTGCACAAATGGCCTCACATCCATAATATCCATGTTGAGTTTGCACTGCAAGCGAGTTGCACGTTGCAATACAAGACTAGCGAACGTTTCGGACAGTTGACGGAATTGTCACTTGCAATTTAAGTCATGCCAATTTTAGCATTCAAGCTATTTTAACCGATAAAGTACTGGCGCACTCTCTGAGTGAAGGTCTTCAGCCAAAGTATGCACAGCTGCTTCTCAAACAGCTTTTGACTCTCGAGTGTCATATTGAGTTATTACATATATTATGTAGCCTAAGTAATGTTGTCCAATGACTTGTTTGCATTTTAATTTTTCTAAGGCAATAGATTTTTTGGCAACACTTTACAAAGCAACCATTTTTAAAGTCTCATTTGTTAATGGCCTACCCCGCCCCCTGCTGAGACACTTCAAACGCATACGGCCTTGATGGTTTTGAATTGCTTGAATCACTTTGAAAAGGAAGGTACCATTAAGGGCAATATGTGCAGAACAAATCTGTCATATAGGCTACATAAAATTATAATGAGAGCACAACTGTAAAAGAAAATGCCATGTTTCAGCGTGTTTTTATGGAAAGAATGCATCCACAGAGTTATGTTTTTAAAGTCTCATTTGTTAATGCATTAATTAACATGAACTAACAGAGAGCAATTATTGTTATTATTATTATTAAATTAAAAGTGAATCTAGTGTTCTTTAGCATTGCTGGTGCCATGCCATGAACCGTACCCCCACAGCGAACAGAACCGAAACGTGGCTCCAAAACCGTGATATGAACCGAACCGTGGCATTGATATATCGTTACACCCCTATTATCGTGATATCTGTAGTAATTTTGAAAGAAAAGATTATGCTTTCAGTCAAATTCATCAACTTTATTAGCTTTTTTTGCCAGTGGATCGCACTCAAAAGTAGGGATGTTTAGGTGAAGAGAGTTGTTAACCGTAACTGTACAAAAAAAAGATGCAGGTGTGGATAGTGTCCCGCTTTCACCTGTCATTCCTCCATCATGATTTTGTGCAGCATCAGTAACTACGTGACTGTCTTTTTATTCCTTGTTTTATGACCGGTTGAAACCAGTATGCAATACCGCCACCTACTATGTTAGAGTATCAAGCAGATACTGGCACTGGATAATATACAAGATTATCAAGAAGTGTAGTATTAACATGATATCAGTATTTTATTTTTTAAATACCACTGGTATCTTTAGTACAACTATATTACAACACCCCTAGCTCCATCTAAAATGTATTTGCTTTATCCAGACTGTAATGCATTATTACTTGCATCTGTAGGGATTACATTCGATTCCATTAGAGCCTCTTAATCAGAATCTAATTCGCCTTTAAAATGTTGCTGTGATTTTCTGCTGTGTTTGAGCACATGGGCTACAGGTCTGTGTTAGGCCATTATTTAGCTGCATAATTTAATTTGGCTTCTCAAAATCCTTCTTGATTGTTTTTGATTGGATACTCCTAAAACTCAGTTACAGTTTACTGTTTTTCCTCATGTGGGCCAGCATAGATGTGTAGCCCTGTTTGAATGTGTTAGTGCTGCTCCATGGGTGTGCTGTGAAAACTACTTCTATCTTCATCTTTCTCTCTTCTAATTTTTCTCAGGCCCCTTCTCATTTTTTTTTTTATACCCCTTCAATGTCCACTTTTCACTCCTCTTTGTTTCTGTCTCCACGTGTGCTCCTGCTTGTTCTAATTTTGCCTTGTTGCCTGATTTACTCTCCTCTCCTCTCCTCTCCTCTCCTCTCCTCTCCTCTTCTTTAGTACAACTATATTACAACACCCCTAGCTCCATCTAAAATGTATTTGCTTTATCCAGACTGTAATGCATTATTACTTGCATCTGTAGGGATTACATTCGATTCCATTAGAGCCTCTTAATCAGAATCTAATTCGCCTTTAAAATGTTGCTGTGATTTTCTGCTGTGTTTGAGCACATGGGCTACAGGTCTGTGTTAGGCCATTATTTAGCTGCATAATTTAATTTGGCTTCTCAAAATCCTTCTTGATTGTTTTTGATTGGATACTCCTAAAACTCAGTTACAGTTTACTGTTTTTCCTCATGTGGGCCAGCATAGATGTGTAGCCCTGTTTGAATGTGTTAGTGCTGCTCCATGGGTGTGCTGTGAAAACTACTTCTATCTTCATCTTTCTCTCTTCTAATTTTTCTCAGGCCCCTTCTCATTTTTTTTTTTATACCCCTTCAATGTCCACTTTTCACTCCTCTTTGTTTCTGTCTCCACGTGTGCTCCTGCTTGTTCTAATTTTGCCTTGTTGCCTGATTTACTCTCCTCTCCTCTCCTCTCCTCTCCTCTCCTCTATCACAGTCCTGGATGCAGTCCTGACTCTCTCTGTTCTCTGTTTTGATGTAATGTCTAGCTTTATTTGCAGCTTCTACAACAGTCTGCATCCTCTGGAAATGCGCTCAACAATCTCCATCCAATGTCAGGTGAGAGTCTGATGCGCTCTGCTCCACTCAGACCCGTTAGAGAGAATGGCGGCTGTTAGTTAGCCACTTTTAAACCTATTATATCGCATGCCCATAAAATCAGTTGAGTCTGCCTGTTAGTTTTACGACAATGAAAGCAGGTTGTGCGTGTGAATGTTGCCATGATGTGTAGTGTTGTGCCGTTTTGATATGGAAGGTCTGCTATCTGCGGCAGGTCTGAATGCCATGCAGAATCTGGCTGCATTAGCGGCAGCAGCGAGTGCTACACAGGCCACCCCCACAGGTAGCAGTGCTCTGACCACCTCCAGCTCCCCCCTCAGTGTCCTCACCAGCTCAGGTACGCCCTCCGGACAGCCTGCTCAATCTGCCTGGGACGCCTACAAGGGTTGGTCCCACTTTTTAATCTCCTCCTGTCCTTAACTTTGCTTCTTATCAGTCTGTGAAATAGAATTGCTCTTTGTAAGGTTTCTGGTCAATAGCAAATGTCACTTTACAATAAAGTATAATAGGTTGGCTGTAGTTAACGCATTAGATATCATGAACTAACAATTAACAACAACTTTACTTTTTTCATTAAATAGCATTTATTAAAGCTACACTGTTTTTTTTTTTGTTTTTGTTTTTTTCCTCTAAGAATTGACATTTTTTTAAATAATGAGCTAGTAAGAAAGTCAGGGGCCATATTCATTAAACATTCTTAAAACTAAAATTCTTAAGAAAAAAAGTTTTCCCATAAATGTTTCTTGTGGGGTGTTTTGGTGTGGTTAGTGACGTGTACCACGAGGCAGATACACCTCAAGCCATCAGTGCCAAAAAGGGCCAAAAGTTACATCGTGTAGCTTTTATTTATTTAGGTTAATGTTCATTCATAATACTTGAACTAATGTTAGTTTATGCTTGATATTAAATATATATTGGCATATGTAGAAATGTTAAGATTAATAAATGCTATATACGTGTTGTTCAATGTTAGTTCATGACAGTTAATGTTAAAGGGATAGTTCACCCAAAAATGAAAATTACCCCATGATTTACTCGCCCTCAAGCCATTCTTGGTGTATATGACATTCTTTTTTCAGACAAATACAATCGGAGTCATATAAAAACATTTCCTGGTTCTTCCAAGCTTTAGAATGGCAGTGAATTGTGGTTGAGATTGCATCCATCCATCATAAAAAGTGCTCCACACGGCTCCGGGTGGTTAATAAATGCCTTCTGAAGTGATGTTTGTGTAAGAAAAATATCCATATTTAAAACTTTATAAACCGTAATCTCTAGCTAACAGTCGTACGCATGTTCATTAGAGAGTGGTATTCCAGCGTAGGATGTAGGCGTAGTGTAGCATTAATTTTTGGGTGAACTGTCCCTTTAGCGAATTGAACCTTACAGTAAAACAAATGTTGCCAATTACACTAAACCTAAACAACGGAGTAATGATTTTTTTTACTCTTGATAATTCTCATCCGTTGCTTCAAAGAGCTGTCTTTTGTGATTTGATCACTGACGTTGCTGTCTGCGGTTTCTGCTCAGTCTCGTTTGCTTTACATGTCTGTGTAAGTGAGAGCATGTGAAATTTGAATGGTAAGATGTGTGATGGCTTAGTAATGTGTCAGAGCTGGTTCTTGTTTTCTCTCCTCTGCACAGCGGGTTCCTCTCCCACCTCCAGTACTAGTTCTTCTGTGAACCCCATGGCGTCTTTAGGTGCTCTTCAGTCTCTTGCTGCGGGTGCTGGAGCAGGTCTCAACATGAGCTCCCTAGCAAGTAAGAAAAAGAAAGCTTTTTATTTTTGAATTTGTATGAGGTCAGATGGTTTTTAAAGATCCTGTTTACACCTGTTCTTGAAATCCATCTCGGGTGATATGATCACAAGTGGTCAGCTGAGACACATTACCAAAAAAAAGCACATAAGTCAGCACACTGTTGCAGCTAAATTATTTAAATCTTGTTTTTTATTCCTTTGCGTTACTGTACCAGTATGATGTGATCGTATAGGTGTTTTGAAGTACCTCTGAATGCACATTTTGGACCCCATTCACACGCTTGTTTAGCACTGACCACATGTGACCAATGACCAACGGATGTTAAATGGGATCTATGTGTCATTCCTTGTGTTTTTAACTTTCTTTGCCTCGTTTCTGTTTCTGCTGTGTCTCCATCTCTGAATGCGGTTTCTCTGTATCTATCAGTAGTTTTGTGTCCTCCCCCGTGTGTGTCTGAATGCTGAGCTGTGTTTCTGTGTGCGCAGGCATGGCTGCTCTGAATGGTGGTCTGGGCAGCGGAGGTCTCTCGAACGGCTCGGGCAGTGCTATGGAAGCTCTGACTCAAGCAGCCTATTCTGGGATCCAGCAATATGCCGCTGCCGCTCTGCCCAGCCTCTACAGTCAGAGTTTACTGTCCCAGCAGAACGTTAGTGCCGCTGGCAGCCAGAGGGAAGGTGAGTACATGAAAGGTCTAATGAGCTTTGAGCAGCTTTTCGAGTTGGGAGATTGCCAGCCTCTGTGTAAGATAAAACTGCTAGTTTATGCCAGTAGGGTCAGCTCTTAGGGCATGTGTTGGCCCATGATGTTTTTCAGTGTGTGTGTGTGTGTGTGTAGACGTGGCTCTTGTGATCACCATCTTAAGGATTCATTCTTGTTTTAAATACGCTGCAACAGCAAGTCCCAATCAGAGCGCGGGTAAGAGATCATTATCACTCTCCACAATGCCCATTTTTCTACATTTTGGTTTGTTTAAAAGTAAGTGGAGATCCATACCAGCAGCTCTTTGCCAATGAATTCCATGAGTATTCTGTGATAGATACAACTTCAAGCCTGTCGGAAGCATCTGTGGCATGCTCTTCTATGCTGCTGGTTTTTGATAATTGATCATTGTTATTATCAGTGTTGAAAACAAAGGGTTTATATTTTTGTTGAAACCAGGATATTTTTTCAGTATTCTTTGTTGAATAGAAAGCTCAGAAACTTTTTAAATAGAATTATAAAAATATAAATAAAAAATGTCTTTACTGTCACATTTGATCAATTTAATGCCGATTAATTACTGAATAAAAGTTCTGAT